TACTCCGTCCACTGCTCCCCGTATGGTTAGTGCTGGGATTGACAAGAGCCATGTGTATAAACACAGCATGAGAACATAACATTCAACCCCTGCAGGAGGAGGCAGAGACAGTCTGTAACACTGGGCACCAACCTACTCTTGCACAGCTGATTGCATGAGAATATTTCCCTGAATAACTGAATACAGATTGTACCAAAGTTAAAACAAAAATGTCAATCTTCAAACATTCACAGATCCTGGAAATTGTATGAGGAATTCAATGGCAGAATATAGTATCAAAGTCAAGCTTATTGGAGGTTTCTGCAACTCTTAACATTTGCTTGAAATATCTTCCACTTTACCCAATATTTTATTTTCATCTTAAAACTGACGTAAGAAAAACGGAAGTGGCCCCACACAAGCAAAACGCAACATAATAAAATCGTCCAGGGACATTTTAGAACAGATGCCCTAAAATTCATTCACTAGAGTGGATTCACTTTGTGTACACACACAGACAAATGGAAATGACTAAGAAAACAGGCACTTCTAGATTATCTAATACAGCTTGCCTTACGTTTGTCCTTCACTGCAGAATATATTACTGGCACAGGATCCCAATCATCTTCTGCATCTCAGATCTGCTCAACTTTCATTATAAGTCAACTCATATCCATCACAAGAAGATGCTAGACATGTCTCACTGTACAAACCAGGTTCAACTTTCACTGCACCTGTGTAGATCTGTATAATCACCATGCCCTTATCAAATCATGACCATACTCTCTCATTATACGAGGCAGTGTCGGTAAAAAGGTCACAAATGGATATAAAACATAAAACATGAAATTTTAACCTGGAAAGAACATTTATTTCTCCACATATCCTCCACCAACTTTGATACACTTGTCCCATTGCTTTACTAGTGCATCGAAAACCACAGCATACTGTCTTTTGACTGTTGTTTCAGCCACTTCTACAGCTCCGTTTCAACCTCTTCATCATCAGCAGAATGTCTGCCACAAAGGTGGCAATTTCTGATCCCAGTTGTGAATGGCATTACACAACAAACACTTCCCCCCATAAACAGGAAACATTTCTTTATGAATATCCTTTGCATCAAGTATTTTTGCCCATAAAAAACACACAACAGAAGGCTCCTCTCTGATAAGACACTTCTCATGCAGTTGCCATTTTGACTACTGAAACCAGCTTCTGAACATGAGCATGCACATCTGCTACCTAGACTTGTCATGAAGCTGGACTGTGCTGCTACCTAGTGATACACACGGAAAACCTATTACGTCCATTACATCCATTTTACTTCCATTTGTGACCTATTTACTGACTCTCCCTCACATCAAACTCATATAGCTATATTAAATTTTTTATACCATTACTATGAATATCAGTTTGATAATATATACACTGGAACCATAATTTAATATTCCTCTACTTAAAGTTCCCCTTATTTAACATTCAATTTCAATTACTCCAGGTCAATAATATCAGTCTTAATCTCCTCCATTTAAGACTCCTCAGCCAGTGTTCAAATCCATTCATCCCCAACAAAACATTAAATGGAAGGTCCACTGTAAATTGTGCCACATGAGAAGTATGGAGGGCCAGTAAGACATGAAACATAAAGTACGGAACTGTAAAAATGTTTGAATTTTCACATGTGATAGTAAGTAGCTACACTGAAAAATCAGTAAAAGATAAATTGCGTGCAATGAAGCCCTTCTCAACAAGCCAACAAAATTTTGCAAGCTTGTTGGCTCTCCTTTGGAACTGACATATACAAAATATACTGTCCTCTTTCCATTAAATGTAGATACATTTTGAAAATTTAAGTTTTTTTTTATTTTCCCCACACTCTGATCCACTAAAATGCTTATAATTCAGGTCCTAATTGGGCCAGAGGGCTCACTCTTGTATTAACAAAAACCTCTTAAGTGGGGATTCCATTTGGTATGGCACATGATATTCCGATGCATGAATGTATGAAAAGTCTCATAGTCAAAATGATGCAAGTTCTTCCCATAATACTTAATAGTCATTTCCATATGGTTTTGAAAAGCAGCATGTTGGGACTTGGAAGTGTTCAGAAGATGCGATTTTCTGTCTGTGGTCTGATTAAGCATGATGGGTCATGCGGTGCCCTATACAAACTGCTGCAGGACATTACAACTCGTCCAGCGCTTCAGTCCATTCCTGATGCTGGTACAGTTAAGTTGTATTTTGTCTAGAAAATTTTGTAGCAGTATGGACAACTACAAAATGTTTATTTTTGCCAGGTTTACATTGGCTGCAAGTGCTACAAGTTTGAAATGTTGTATCTGAAGGTAACATGCAAATTACTATGTAAGTGTAGTATTACATTTCAGCAACCTGTTGCATTTAAGTATTAATCGTTTTTCTCTTCCGTATATAATGCAACACTTTTTATTTCAGATGACACCAAACTTACATTCAACTCACTAAAATGTAAGTTTAAACGTTCTTAGAAAGGCATTAACCTAAGTCCTACATCTGGCTAGATGTTTCGGCCTCACAGGGCCATCATCAGGCAACACATTTTGATGGAAACTATTGCACTGTGCTTGCTTATGTCAATAGTACTCACTGATGTATGTTGTCATTATTCTCAATTTTAGTATTTTGAGAACGTCTGTTCTTATCCTACATACAAAGTGTCTACAATGAAACACCCTGATTTTGAGGATTTTTTTAAAGTAAGCAAATGGTTTCACACTAACAAACATACACTACACATTAAAGAGAGAAGCCACAATATAAAGACAGTAATGAACAGATATTCTCAAAATACAAAAACTGAGAATAACAAAATACATCAAGTATTGCTGACATAAGTTAGGACAGTGCAGTAGGTTCCATCAGAATGTGGTGCCGGAAGATGGCCCTGTGAAGCTGGAACATGTAGCCAGATACAGATAATATTTTAATGCCATTTTAAGAACATTTTAACTGCCATTATAGTGAGTTGAATGTAAGTTTGGTGTCACCTGAAATGAAATGTGTTACATTTTAGACAGAAGAGAAGAACGAGTGAGTGTGTGTTCTTTTTTCCTGTTTATCGCTTATGTTGACTACATATTGCTAAAACCGCAACATGTTTTGGTGATATGAGACCATCATCAGGAGTACCTCATTAAAACAAGCTTTAAAGATTACATATATAAAATGAAAGGATTCATATAAACAGATCAGGAAAATGAATCATATAAAAAAAAATTCTAATCCCTTGAATGCTGTTCAAGGTGCAAGTTCCGTGAATAATCTCAGACCTGTTTTGCAGTGCACCAAAGAAAGTGTTCCTAGTGTTTAGAAAGTACAAAGAAGCTGTGACAAATGCGGGAAACTATTGAAAATTTCCTACACAGTTTTTAAAATGAAGCCGTTACCTCTTCAAGCTCAGAATACAACATGAACAGCTGTAAAACTGAGCAGACCCACACTGTTTCTACCTTCAAAAAGACTCTGAGGTCATTATAAAAATCACCGGTTTCCAGTAAAAAGTTGTCACAAATGGTGAAGTACCCAAAGGACAAATTTAAGAAAATCATGGGAGCCACGAACAGAGAAGTAAAACGTTAAGTATAAGTAAAGGTGTTTCTGTAACAGGCCATGGAGGCCCATAGGGTTGCAAGGTGTTGAGATTCCCACATTTTCTAGACAACCGGCTCATAGATGGCAGCAAGGCCGTCAGCTCTACATGCCAGCCACCCTTTACCCCCAAGAATATTCCAGGAATATTCCTAGTACTCATTTCTGTTAGAGGCTGAGTCGACCCGAGAGCCATAGTGCAGCTGGAAGGATTAGGTCAATTGAAAAAATCCAATGACCTCATCAGGACTTGAACCCGCAACCTTCTGGCTTGTAGCATAGTGCCTCAACCAACTACACTACAGCATGCCCCACACAAACAGAGAGGTATTCAATTTAAAACACTCCAAAGGTAGCAACAGTTCAGGTGAAGGCGAAGGAAATATTTCACACGAAGGTAAAAAAAGGGGCAACATCCCTGGGCTTAACTAATTAAGCACTATGGCACAAAAGTACATGGGGGGGCTTGATGTATACATCCACATTTTCTTGACCTCAGCGTTAGTTGCAGGTGAGTGGTCAGCTTCACGTCCCAGCCACTTTACCTCCAGGGAAAGAGTCTCTGGTAACCACTGGATAGGAGACTGGGTGGGGCTGACAGCTGGTCTGGACAGGGAGGAGTGAAAATTCTTGCANTCCCCCCCCCCCCCCCCAGGACTCAAACTCCAAACTCTCGGTCATCCAGCCCGTAGCCTGTCACTACACTGACTACGCTATCCTGGCTCTGGAAATATTTCACATAACAGAAAAAAATTAAGGAAAATTTTCATATACCAGGAAAAAAAGAGTGAAAAGGTTAAAATTTTCATGGTTCTTCTAAACAGCTGGTCAATTAGGAAAACTTAACAAGAGTTCAAAGCCTCAATTTACATTGTTCAGGTTGCCAAGAAATCAGTGGCTGACAAATGATTTTGGTCAAGCCCAAATGTATAATCAGTAATGGGGCTGCCCTCTGCAATAGGTGAAATGGTGAGGAAATTTTATGTATCTTATGAAATCTGCAGGATCAAGCGAGGGACAAAAGATTATGTTTGTCTACTCAGAAAGCAAGAAGGTTCATCCTCAGAGATGATTGATTTTGTGCAATCTAAAAGAACACTACTTATGTTTTCAGAAAAAAAAATCTCAGAACTTGCTAGGTTTTCAAATTTTGAAGAGTTACAGCCAAAAAGCTACATGTTAGCTGGAGACAATCTTCTTCCTTGTGCAGTTCAGAAAATTGACAACCTATGTACTGAACACAGGCATACAGACGCTGATAAGTAAGAGGAGGCAGCTGTGTGGACCAGTTCCTAAGTGTAGTGAGCAAATGCAGTGTTTGAATACACACCACCACTTCCTCGGTGACATTTCTGACATTCCAGACCCATTCATCAGAAAACCTTAAGAACTGGAAAATTTTAACATCAAATTTATTTGAAAGACAAGTAAAGCAAATGATATTACATATATTTTTCATGAATGATTAACATTTCAAAACAGACTGACTTTAACCGTGACAGCAGGAACATGTTACACCCATCTGAAAGCCTCTGCATTTGGTATGCTTTTAGCTATTCATTCAGTGTAAAAAAATAATGCAATGCATTCATTTTCTACAAGACATATAATTAATTTTGTAAACATTCTGATGCCTACCCCGTTAAGATGGTTAACTGCTTATGTAGTTTATACTTCTTGGTCCCCTGAACTGCTTAAAAGGGATCCACTGTCATTCCCTTTCTACTTCTGTGTCACTGACATATGCATATATGATTTAGCTAGCCTGGCACAGCTAACCACAGGCTGAGAACTAATAAGTCCCTCACTTGTGGACCTTGATCTGAGGTTCTCACAGCAGTGGTTATGAAATGCAATAACCTTCTGGGATTAACACCATGTAGTCCGCTGAAAGTCATTTGATGTTACAGAGAAACATGTTAACTCTATCTTCAAGATCAAAGATTAAGCCAAGTGAGAAACCTCTTCCTGCAACCAGTTTCATGCTACTTTCTTGCTTGGTTTATTCTACATGTACCTCTGCAAATGGCATTATATCCCAGAAGGTAGGACTCTTCATGTGCTACACACATCCTAGAAATATTATTGCTCCATGCTATTGCTCATCAGACTACTGTTAACACTTACTACGGCTCTCCCGGCTACGCCACCAAGTGTCAATACACTGGCATTTCTTTGTTTGCATTAACACTGAATAACTTATAACATTGCAGGAATACAAGTGCCACCTCTTACGTACATGCTTACAACAGTTCCAGTGTATTATTTAGTCTGCCATGATATATGTGTAAATGTTCCTTCAGAATATCCTTTCCACTGAAAGATCACATGAAAATGGACACTTCACACTACGTATGGATTCATGTTTCTTCAGATTACCGTTATCACCAAACGACTTCTTACACATAATATGTATACAGACGCACATTATCGTGTATACGTTTATGTCTCGTGAGGTCACTTTTTGTAGTAAAACACTTATTACATATGTCGCAAGAATAAGGGCGCTCACCACTATGTATGCGTTCATGTCTCAGCAAATCACTATTACATCTGAATGACTTACTACAGGTATTACAGGAATGTGGACGTTTCACACCACGACGTTCATTCACAGTGCTCTAAAAACAAAGGAGAAAATTAATATAAATCCATCCTTGTTCTTGGGTCTCCAGTGAACCCTTTCTTCCACTGGCATTCACGCTGTAGTTCCAATGTTGTAAAACTCAACATGACTGATTTATAATGATGATATTGTCACGTGTTGGGTGTATAGCGCGACAAATAACTTCACGCCTTACTGGATATAGCGAATTTATTCCACTCGCTCTTACAATCTGACAATTACTTCCAGTGGCAGTATCACAAATACTAGACTGCAAATGCTCTTCCCTGGCCGACTTGTAACTCTTAACTGCTGCGGCTGTGTAGTTCCCTTATAAACCCTCAGCCGAACAACGGGAAAACAGTTACGTAATAGGCACGATTGTTGTCTGATGCAGTGTTTGCCTGTTATGTAATGGGTACTGCTGTTATTACCATCATCTCTAGCAACCACTGTTTACTCGCTTTGCTTAGCAACCAGCGTACTGGGACTCAGCTCACTTCAGCTCTGCTCAGCACGTCACGGCTGGGGGGGGGGGTCATCCATAGCGCAACACGTCACAATATATTACCACTTAAAATAAAGTTCTTTGCAATGGGGAAACAAATTTTATTCATAAATTTTATCGCACAAGCATAGCAAACCCATCATGCATTAGACGAGCACAAGCTGAAAATTCAGCTTATCTTAACGATACTGAGAAACTGAGTATGGTACAAAAACAAATAAAGTGCACTCGGTTCATTGAAGGTACAGTAATTAACTTGGTTCCATATATAAAATATACTTAAAGAATAGGCAATTTCTAACATACCTGCAAAATCACTGAGTCAATCACATATCCTGTTATCCTGTAGGTATAAAACGTCTCTGAGGGTTCAACATCATCAGACAGTGATGTGGGTCATTATGCCATCATAAGAAAATTAGCGAATTCTACTCTAAACTTTGATAATTAAATGATCAAGTCATGGAGGATGAGCTGGGCAGGGCATGTAGCACGAATGGGGGAGAAGAGGAATGCATATAGGATATTGGAGGGAAAGAGACCACTGGGAAGACTAAGATGTAGGTTGGTCAACAATATCTTAGAGAGACAGATTGGGATGGTATGGATTGGAGTGATCTGGCTCATGATAGGGACCAGTGGAAGGCTCTCATGAACACGATCATGAACCTTCAGGTTCCATAAAGTGCTGGGAAGTTCTTGAGTAGCTCCACAATTGGCAGCTCCTCAAGAAGGGCTCAGCCCCATGAGTGAGTACTCTACTTGTGAAAGGAATCAAACTGGAATCTTGATGAGCGCACAGCAGTTTTCTTTCATATGACTGACCAGCTGAAGTATCTTGCCCCCTCAGGGATGTTCCTGATGGACTAAGAGGCAGATCCTCGACAGTAATGACAACTGTCCCTAATGGTTAGGGACTGTACTAAAGTTACAAAACAGATACATGGCAGTCCTGGAATCTTCAAAGATCCTGAGAATTCAGTGGCAGGATATACAGTGGAACCTCGCTTAACAAGCACCTCTCATAACGAGTAATTCACATAACAAGCAAAACAAATTGCAAAAGAATGACTCGCTTAACGAGCGACATTTCGCATAACGAGTGACGAGAGGGGTAGTCCCGCATTGTGCGCTTGCTACATCAGTCTGTGTTTAGCACTCGTTCCGCTAGCATCTTAGTGTCCCTTCTGATCACACATTTTTCCACATTTCACACATTTTCTATGTGTTCAGACATATTATTTGTGATCTTTTTTTGTGCAAAGTTTAATAACCCTTGCAAAAATGTCCCCGAAGAAAAAGCCGCAAAAGACAGCCATGCAAGAATAAAGTAACAGTAGAAATGAAACGTAAAATCATTGAAAAGCGAGAACGAGGTGTGAGCATGGTTGATCTACCACGCACATACAATTGGTCTACATCAACGATTTGCACTATCCTCAAGGAGGAGGAGGAGGAGGTAACAGCAAAGCAACAAGCATCTGGCACAATAAGAGAAATGGTGAAAGCATGGAAAACTGTGGCATCGTGCATTGAGAAGCATCACCCTAATAAGGCAGTGGCTATGCGCGCTACAAATTTATTTAATGATAATGCTGTGTTGCATTTTCACAAAATTCTGAAGCATCGGCAAAAACAAATGTATCTAGACAGCTATCTAGTAAAAAAGAATTATATATGTATCATAAATAATAAACTAATTATATCGATTTTTTTTTTGTTTTCTGCAAATCGAATTCGCATTTTCAACAAATTTTGAAGCATTAGCAAAAACAAATGTCTCTAGACAGCTTTCTAGTAAAAAAGAATTAGATATGTATCATAAATAATAGACTAATTATTTAGATTTCTCTTCTGCAAATCGAATTCACATTCCAGGTTGGTTCATTCCGCATAGAAGAAAAGATGAAGATGATTCACGCTCCTTAACAATGTATATATAATTTTCTTTGAATAAACGTTACACATAAAATTTCTTGAGTATTTTTTTTCGGCATGGAATGCATTATTGTATTATACATTAATTTATATGGGAAAAATTGTTTTGCTTAATGAGTGTTTCGCATTACAAGTGAGATTCTGGAACGAATTATGCTCGTTAAGCAAGGTTCCACAGTACTGTAAAAACAAAGATTACTGGCAAAAGAAGGTTACCTCTGGCTAGAATCTTGAAAGAAGAACCTTTCAGTGCTCAGTACTAAAATAAGCAAGCCATGCACAACAAAAACCAATTCTCTACACACATTTTAGAATAAGTTCTTTGAAATCTATTGAACATTGTCATTTTATGCAAAGAGCCAGACACACAAAGATTAATAAGGCAAACAGGCAATTCTGGATATCTATGAAATATACCTAACAATGGATATACCAACATACAGCTCACCTTACATTCAGCCTTCACTGATGAATATACTACCAACACGGGTTCATCATCATCTTCAATATCTGAGATCTGCTCAACTTTAGTACCAGTCGCCTCATACCGATCACAAGAAGATGCTAGACATCTCTCATTGTACAAAGCAGGTCCAACTTCCACTACATCTGTTGAGATCTGTAAAATCACCAAGTCCTTATCAAATCATCACTGTGGTCGCTCATTACATGTAATGTGGTACACTTCCATTACAAACATTTCGCACTACGTCAAACTGAAAAGGTTTTAATGAACGAGTTTTCAATACCATTACTAAGAATATCGCTTTAACAATACATACAGTCAAACCCCAACTGTAGATTTTGTTCCTTTAACATTCAGTTTAAAAGACCCCAAGTCAATAATCTCAGCCCTAAATTTCCTCAATTTAAGGGCTTCTTCAACCAGTGTTCAAACCCACCAATCCCCAACAAAATAATATATGAAGGTTTCTACTGTACTGTGCACCTTCAGTAAGACTCGAAGTATTGTACAATGATTTAACGTAAAACTAGTTTATCATGTCACATGACAAGTACAGAAAGACATTCATCATCAGTAGTAATCTGTCAAGACGACAGGTCCACAGTCTCTTCCAAAACAATTCCTCCACTTAATGCGATCTAGAGCTTTCTCCTTCAAATGACAGTATCCTCTTCTGTCCCCAAGGTCATCCAGCATCTTCTTACGTCTTCTTCCTCGTCTTCTTGTCACTTCTATCCGCCCATCTATCTTTCCTTCGATAGCTTCTTTTAGAAGGCAGTTTCTGCGTAAAACATGA